ATCATGAGGAGCTATAACCCCTCTGAATGAAGATCCTTCAGTGGTTTAGTTTGTTTATTCTGATTGGAGTTCTTATCAACGTTATTTTCTACGGAACGTGGTTGCTGACCCTATCTCAACCCTCCTTTTTTTAGCAGAACTCGGGACCATCACCAACTCTAAATGAGCTACAAGTGGAGTTTTTGCGAAATAATGAGCCACAATATAATCGGATTGTGGTATAATGAGGTGTAAATTATATAGGTTTGTAAGCTATACATAAGGTAAGATTCATAGATGTTATTTGAAACGACAGCTGTTTAGAAAAATAGAGGGAGGCCAAAGATTTTGAATTAGGAGATCTGAAGTTGATGGTCTAGGAAACACGTCCCCATGTTATCAAACGGACCAAAACGGACTAGTTAGGGCGAAAGTATAAAGAATCGTGACTCTCATTTGATATGTTCCTGTTTGCCAGAAGCGATAGCTGAGCTCCCGATAAGGTTCAGAAACTGATCACTGGCTAGAATAGAGTAGCAAGACTGTTGGATTTAGTATGTCAAAAGATGTCAATTTTGAAACACTTAAAAATTGTGTCTTCCGGAAAAAGTAGGTGGTTACTGGTCATGGGAATCCCTTGGTTCAATGCCACGCATCGAGATCAGGCCGGACATTGATTATTTTATTTTCTATTCAGTAACGGATGAATTCGAAAAGCCAGTAACAGTGATGACTTATTTTTAAGTAGCAGTACGCCACGTGAAAACTTCATCAGGTTACTGGAATGTTCATGTCGCCACAAATAAATTGATACGGATTACTGTCGTTAAACAGACAAATGTTTTCGTATAAACAACTATCTGGGAATGTATTGTTACTACTCACGTTTCTAAAAACAAATAGGTGGTCATTCGGAAATGTTCAGAGAATATCACTGTGATAATCATTCCGTCTAATGTTTTGTGTTTGGTGCAATATGGAATATGGAGCAGTAAATAGCCTTAAAAACGTCTTCTATTATCTGCAAACATCACAACAAATATAGTGTGAGTAAATGATGAAGTCCGTAAACAAAGATGAAATCCAAAAATTGTGGCAAAGTAGGTCATGTATTTTAGAAATCATGCCAGCATAAGATAACTGAAGATCATAAGATATACTTAGTGCTTCCAGCCTTGTGTCAGTCATTGTTCTCATCATAAAGGCATTGCATTTTATCCACGCACTACTGCCCCAGTTAGATGCCCTTTCGAAGGGTAAAAAAATTGTAAATAGAGTAACACAGTTCTGACATGAGGATATTAAAGAAGGTCATTACAAGTCATCCTTGTATCTCGCACATGGTAGTGACCTTGCAGAAATCGCTGTTCTCCGATTCTAGTTTACTCGAGAGGTCAAGTGCTTTGTAGGGACTTATAACCATGGTAAAGACTTCATGCAGCTTCGGAGAGTGTTCAAGCCCTAAATGAACGGACAAGAGAAAATGACCTGCTGAAATACCAAACCATGTTTTCCGTTTTTGATTAAGATCATGAACCGATTGATGTTAGACTACCATTAAAAACCCGGAAGCACTGGACGGCCATTTCGTCCTATTATGGGACTCCTCAACAGTGCGCGTCTACGATCACGCTCGGGGGATTCGAACCCAGGACCTTCACTCTCGCACGCGAACGCTTAATCTACTGGACTACTTAGCCGGCATACAAATGTGTTAAGGCCTAACTTCAACCAATCAATGAAATTGCGCAACCGTCTTCCATTGTATTTGGGTGGATATCTGTCTCCACCCGACACGGACTAGCTTCACTAGAACTCCAAGAATTCCCTGACGAAGCTAGTCACTAGTGATCACATGGTAATTATCAGTATAGGGGTTGTGGTGATTATTAAGTTTTTGATTAAGACCATCAACCAATTGATGTGACCCAAGTTGTCTTGTGATAGTAACTCTGTACACCTACGGCAACTAGTTGTAAGATGCAGAAAATTACACACTGTGCTTCACTAGGTTCATGAATAGTCAGACACACAGACCCTTCGATCGTTTTAATGCTTTTTTAAAACGCACTTAAGGCCATAATTTGAAAGTGACAACACCGGTCAACCCCCTAAACTGGAAACAGATGAAAATTTTTGTAGTAAAGTGTGGCGATTTACAACATAAAAGCCTTTCAAGCAGCGGAACAAACCATAAGATAATCGGTTCTTCAGTCTGAAGTTGTTTTTCGTTAGCAACAGAAGAATAAGCAGGGATTCCGTAGGCTAGATGACACACTAGCCAACTTACATTATGCCAAGTGTTGTGTTGTATCTTGTTATTGGGCTTCAGTACGGCCTTCCATGTTACGGATATAGGAACGGAAACAATCGATCTGATCTAATACGATCTGTTCTCTTCAGTATTGTCAACAGTAAATTAGGTTTGATACATTAAACTTTGACGGATAAGACAGAAGGAAGACGGAATTGCAGTTAACTTGATGTTCGTGGTAAAACAAGCAAATCAAACAAAATCGGCACAAAATTTGTCACCATAGTAGCAGATTATGACTTTCAAGCATACAACAATTTAGCAAACTAAAAATGCATGACAACCAATCAGAGGGCAAAGGTCATGAGGAAGATAGAATCGGCAGAAAGCATACTAGCGGTCGTCATTTCCGAAGGAATTTAGGCCTATCTAATAAAGTTTGACTGTTCTTGAGACCACCTTAACAGGTTGCTACGACTGTAGGGCCAGCGAGCCCTAGCCAAATCATCTGGAGGTCCTCGTCAAGACCAAGGACAACTAACGCATATCAGTTAATTGCATGCCGTGGACTGGTTCACGCAGCAGTGATTGCACTCTGTTCCTTGTATCTACTTTTACCAATATATTTTTGTAATAACGTCGTTTGTGTAGCACAGTTATCAAAGCAGCCATCACGCCTAGATACTATGGAGTATTAATCCACGCTAGGTACTGACCGCGAGGTGTGACATCGACGTTAGCTAGTTGGTCACACCATTCCCGTCCATCTCAAGCGGGGCCCCAGTCATTCTACACAGGTAATTTACGCTGATGACCTGCACGACAATCGACGAGACAACAACCAAAATATTGCACATCAACAGTCAAAAACTTACTTTTGGGCTGAGTCATATATCTAGGTTTAGTACACAATGTAACCTCTGTCTACACAATAAACTGATTTAATAGGTGGTTTAAGTTCTGGTTCTGTACACGGACATACTACGTACATCTGCGAAGCATACGAAGCGTTTTTGAGTGGATCGTATCAAATTATATCAAAACACAAACCCTGTGTTCAATTTAAATGGTTTTAATTTGAGAAAGAGGATAAATTATATTAGAAGTACGAAATACCTCAAACGGTGTAGCCTGTGCTAAAGAATCAAGAGTTTCTCTAACACAAAATAACGTGCTAACCAACGAAAGGAATAATTATTAAACAATAGTTCAACACATGAAAATCAATAAAATTATTCCCAATAAGATACGATCAGATATCTATCTGCAAAGGTTCCAGCAACCTCCCCAAGCAGACAGTCAGAGGTTGGCAGTCATACTCTGAACCACACTGTGACATTCAGTTTAGTCAAACACGACCTTACTGTTAATAGTCCGACAACATGTGATACGTAAATCAATTAATAGAACTTAAATCTTCAATCAAGGTCAAATAACAAAAGCCTTAGCAAGGAAGACTGAAGAACATAGTATGTGGTTAAAAAGGAGCCGAATCGAAGGTTAAAATATAAGACAGGGAGAACAAAATAATAAATGATACTACTGTCCAATGAAATGCTGTGGAGGTATTTTCGGTATTTTCTTTCCATTACACACTGGATCTCACAGTCATATCACAAAAGACCTGACCGACCACATTCGATGTTATAAATATTTAGGGCCGTTTTGTAACTACAAGATGAGAAGCCAGCTCATCATAGAGATCTTTATGCGACATCACGTTACATGGTGGAACGCATCAACACATTTACGTTTCTACTATAACTCTTATACATACAAGTCACCACTGGCGGTATTAGCAGTTCTCTATTATTATACAAAGATACTAGTTAGACAAAGACCTCTGTTACTTCATGATCAGTTGAATCTTAGGTCCCATACTTCGTCTTCCCTATGTCAATGAATTACCACCATTTCTTAAGTCATCGACATTATTGTTTGCGGATGGTGTCAAAATCTGGAGAACAGTAAGAAGTGAGGTTGATCATTTTGATCTCCAAGTTGACATAGATGAATTAACTAGGTGGGCTCAATATTGGGGCTTAGAAATTAATTCTAGGAAGAGCGTGCTCATGCTCTTTTACGCAGAAATAGTTACCAGTAAGCTATTAATGGCACATCTCTTCCATGCATTCAGGAACATCAAAACTTTGGAGTAATGATAAGTCACGACTTGAAAACAACTACGCATTGCAACGCAGCAAGTGCCAAAGGTTTTCGTGGGTTGTAGTCACTTCACTAAACATTCAAATGCTTCAAATATTTCGAATTTTGTATCACAACTATGTACGACCAGACTTAGCGTACCTTATCTAAGCGGCTGGCCCATGTCTGATTAAGGGTACTAACTCACTTGAGCTTGTTCAGTATGTGGAAACGAAGCCAGTAGGGATTCCTTCTAAACCCCTTTACGACGAGCGCTTAGAACGCCTAAACCTTTTCCCCTTGTCATATCGTAGGACGCGTGGTGACCTTATATTGGCATTTCGTATCTTTAATTACGATTTGGGTGTTAAAATTTTTTAAATCTTCTTGTCTCCCCCAGCGCTAATGATCTCCGAGGTCATAGCACGAAGGTTCACAAACTGCGATCTAACTAAGTTAAAGTGAGGTTCCATTTTGGGTGAATGGAACGCCTTATCCAAATGAGTGATATTAGCCCCATCAGTGAACATATTTAAGGAGAAGCTGAATATTCACTGGAAGGCAAACTGTCAGGATTAACACACATCTACTGACCTACTTTCCTTATTACTGAAAACAGACTGATTCAAGCAGCCTCAGGCGCGCGGTTTCGAAAGGTGAGTGGTAATGTTTTGTTCGTCCCTACTTTTTCTATTCTGCCTAGTGACGAGCCCTGAAGTTTAGTATTACTTTGAGTGTTGCGTTCAATTTTCAGTTTTTTGCTATACTGACCCTTTACTAGAATTTGCCATCTGTCTGTCGTCTATTTTGCAGTTGTAGCTTGTGTGCGTTCACGGACGCACATGCATGAGTGTCCCACTCTTAATAAATGTTAATATTGAACCGCCCTTTTAAGGATAATATCCGAAAGTTGGTTAAAATAGGTTGTCTTTTGAATCTGATCTCATAAAACCTGTCCGAGCTCCATCCGATTACTCGGTATTTACTGAGTTGATTTTGTAATAGCCACAATGTAGGCCACTGAAAATACCACTTTAAGTCAAAATTTATCAAGTGAAACTTTTGACAGCTGAGGTTTGTACCTTAAGTCCTTTACATTGAGGGTAACAACACATAGCAAAAACCTGAGTGCACAACTGGATGATGAGTGGTCAAGCATTTCCATTAGTACTTTGATGACAACTTAGTCTGGTAAGGATTGCTCTTTTTCCCGGGAACATAAGATCAATACTGACATTTTTTTGACTGCGTCAGTCAATAAAGGAAAACAACGACGAGGAAATAGTAAATTAAATAAGGATAGATCAAGCTACTGTAAATTAAACGTGGTTTATGATTTATAAAAGCACGACGTTAAGCGTCTTAATACCACTGTAGTTGGTCTAGGCTCATATCAAATGGAGTCCCTTAATAAGAGTTCCTATCTACTTTTAATATTCATCACACATTTAATTATTGTGTTTGTCTTCACTTCCAAGTCTGTAAAACTGCAAATACATACTTTTCCACTATCAGTCAGTCAGTCAGTCAGCTACAACGTAGGACCAGGCACATATATGCATCGATCCAAGTTGCCATACCTCGTTAACACAACAAGATGGACACCGGATTTGTAAAAGTAGTTAATTCAGAGGTGGTAATATATAAAAAAAAGATTGCAATAAGGATATAGTACAGGAGGAAAGAATTAGTTCGTAGAAAGAAAAATATAAAGCAATTTTAATCTCATGGTTTAAGGAAAGACAGAGAGTGTATACACTGACGCCATTGTGATCGATTCTGAGCCATGTCACCAAGAGTCTCCAACCATTGGTTACGATAGTCACGTGGACCCCAACCAAGTAGTCTGCATCTACCAACATGGCTCAGACTAGAAGTTAGTGACTTCAAGCACTGATGCCACGTTTTGGTTTGGCCGCCCCTAACTTTCTTCCAACCATCTCCAACACCGGTTAGCATTGCACGTCGTGGTAATCGGTGTTCAGGCATACGTAACACGTGGCCCAACCATCTCAGTCGATGAAGATTCATAACCTCATCAACTGATTTACCATCATTCCCTAATACCCTGCGTCTAACCTCACTATTACTTACCCGGTGATCCCAGCAGATGCCAGCAATATTTCTAAGGCATCTGTGGTCAAATACTAGTAGCTTACGGGTGTCTTCTACTCTTAAGGGCCATGTTTCGCTGCCGTAAATTAAAACAGAACGGACTGCCGCGCAGTATACTCGTCGTATTCTTTATAGACGGATATCTCGCCTTCGCCATAGGTGACGTAAGTTGGCAAAAGCCAATCGAGCTTTTCGAATCCGTGCTGAGATTTCGTCAGACACCAACCCATTTGGGCTGATCAGACTTCCAAGATAAGTGAAGTTGTCAACGCGTTCGACTACTTCATTCCCTATCCTTAGTTCAGGTGTTGACGCAGACCAGTCCTGAAGCAGCAGCTTGCATTTAGAGGGAGAGAAGCTCATTCCAAACATTCTGGCATTGTTGCTTAGTGCTACCAGAAGACTCTGCATTTTGTCAGCGTCTTCACCAAACAGGACTATATCATCTGCGTATTCTAAGTCGATAAGTGGACCTCCTGGAAGGAGATCAATACCCGAGAATTCAGTAGACGAGAATGTTATTTCCATCAATAGGTCTATGATCAAGTTAAACAAAAATAGAGAAAGTGGACAGCCTTGACGGACACCACTTGAGGTTGCAAAAGTAGATGACAGTTCGCCATAAGCTCTGACTCGACTGGTAGTGTTCGAGTAAAGAGCCTTCACAAGGTTTATGTACTCCTGAGGTACGCCTTTCAATGACAGACACTGCCACAGAATCTCGCGGTCTACCGAGTCAGATGCTGCTTTCAAGTCAAGAAAGACCACCATTGTCGGACGTCGATAAGTATGCCTGTGTTCTAGAACCTGACGAATGGTGAATATGTGGTCGATGCAGCCACGACCAGGTCTGAAGCCAGCTTGATTCTCTCGTGTTTGCAGTTCGCGAGTCTTAGGCGTCTGATAATTATCGAGGCTAGTATTTTAGATACTATATTAGTTAAACTAATCCCTCTATGGTTGTCACAGGATGATTTTAACTCTCTCATATATTGTGACGATATGTGATTGTGACCAGTCAAATGGAATAACGTCTAACTCCCAGATCTTAGCTAAAATATTAGTCAACTTAATCGCTAAAATTAGACCACCATCCTTAAAGACCTCTGGAGCCAATCCATCTGGACCAGCTGCCCTTCCTCGTTGCAGATTAACTATAGCCTTTTGAACTTCTGCTAGAGTTTGGGGACCTACTTCAATGTTCCATTCACACTGTCTGGGAATGGAGGGTAGTTGTAGAGTAGCTGAAGGCCAGCTGAACTGTTCCCTAAAATGTTCTGCCCATCGTTCTAAACGTCTGGACTGGGAGCAGATGAGAGTATCGTCTTTTTCCGAAATAGTCTGACTCAAACTTGACTTATTAATTCCAGTTTCTTTTATTATTCTGTAGAGCTGTCTTGTGTTCCCTATAGCCGCCGCCATTTCCATCTCTTTCGCTTTCGTTGCCCACCACTGCTCACGGTCGTTTCTTAGACTTTTTCTTAACCTAGATCTGATTTGTTGTCGCTCTTCATCGTGTTCAGAGCCTGATGGGATGAGTTTACAAGAATCCATCAGTGCAACAGACCTTGAGGAAATCCATTGGTTCTTTGTAACCCTGTGGTTTAAATCACTGATAGATGTCACTGCTGTTTCCACAGCTGTTTGTATGGCTTTCCAAGCAACAACTGGGTCAACCTCGTTTTCAGAACTATCTAATTGTGACCTCAGTTTTTCCTGGAACCTACTTTTGGTTTTCTCGCTACTCAATTCAGTTCTAATGGGTCTTTTTACTGTGGCTCTTTTGCGTCCAGTGAGGCGCAAGCAGATGCGTGTCCGTATTAGGGCGTGGTCGGAGTCCAAGCAGGTACTCCAGAATAAGCGACAATCTTCTACCGACCCTCTCCAACGATGACTGATGGCAATATGGTCTATTTGAGTCCATCGTTGGTTTGGTGTAGGGGGTCGCCATGTTAGACGATGTCTCTCCTTATGCTTAAAATTTGTGTTTGCTAAAAATAAGCGATTCTCTGAGCACAGTTGCAGCAGATCACCATTATCTGTTCGTTGTGCCGGAATACTAAAATATCCACCTAAATGCCTTTCTGTTTGGTTTAAACTACCTATCTGAGCATTAAAGTCACCTGCTACGAGTACTATGTATGAACGTTTAACTTTCTGGAGAAGTTCAGATAGCTTTCTGTAAAATTCATCTTCCACTTCATCTGAGCTGCAGTCGGTGGGAGCGTAGGCAGAAACGACTTTTCCACTATGCCAACCGATTTCTGATAAAAGTGACAACTTAGTAACAAATAACAAAAACATTTGTTAAAAAACTGGTAATACTACTTGAATATTTATATGTAACCTGAGTAGTAGTCGAGAATATATAAGTTGGGTAAAGATCAACTTCTCGAAAGCACGTTGCGTAGCACGATGGGATGGTGTCGCAGTGATATGTAATCGAGAGGGGGACAGATTCTTTAAGCATACGGAATAATCTTGGTAAATGCACATTAGTGATCAGATATGAAAAGCTACGCTTCAAGTCGTTAGTAAGCATAAGTCGTCCAAAAAACACTAACCTCAAGGTTTATGCGATCACTTTTCTGGGGGGGGGTTGGAAATCTGTCTCCAGACTCTGTGATTCGCGTCATGGATTTTTTTAAAGATTTTATCAGTAAGCTTATTAAACTCAAACCACTTGATAGTCAGAATCTGTTGATAATACTCCTTGAGAAGGAGGAAGTAGTAGTTCTAGTGGACTGAAATGTTCAGATTGGCAAAATGACAAGTCTGTCATTAGTTGGTAGCAAGTACTCACTGGTATGTGCTTTGGAAAATCCGACCAACACGTATTTATGACATCTTGTATTTTTTATAAATAAGTGAATGTAATGTAAGTACTGCTTTTACCCCCAAGCATTCTATGGGTTACTGAGTTTGAGTTACTTTTATATCTGAATCCCTGATTGTTGCAACCAAGTTATATAACTCTTGATACATTGCTAATTATTCTTTGTTTGCAGATGTTATTTATTTTCTGAAGACCTATAGTTTTACTTATCAAGTATCTTCGATAGTTACGTACGTAAACGTGCAAATCATAGATGGCTGAGGACAGCAGTGGGCTCGGTTACCGACTGGAGGAAATCCAGTCAAGTATTGCAGAGGGAAGGTTAATGCTTAACGTTCTTCGTTCCCTTCCAACCACTGAGGTATTTGGAAACTGAAATTATTTGTTCAGAATAATGATGCATTCATAGTTCGTTTCGAGGATTTAATCAGTAGATTAGAAAACTATCAACTTCACAACAGAAAGAGCGAGGTTTGTTACATTTTTACGTGATTTCTGGTGATTTAGGTGAAAGATGTAAAGTTACAGTTGAGGACACTTAAGGAGCAACAAGACAGAATTCAGTCTCTCCTTGGTCAGACAGCGACGAGTATACAGGTACATATGAGGATTTCGGATTTATTAACCAATTACCAAAATACATTAACCATGTACTTACATTTCAGTATTTGCTGTCATGCTTTTAAGTAGTGATTGCTGAATTGTATTTATATTGTCAGCTCTATCTAATTTTCTTGGTACATCGAATTTCGTAACCTTGTTGATTTTCCATATAAAAAGAAATCATCCGACCGAAGCTGCTACCTTGACGCGGTGGTCGGGCTTGTCTATCGTGATGACCCAACCGAGCTATATTGGCTGGAACATATGTTCCTGTAGGTTCTACCATGCCAGGCAGGTCGATTGGAAAACGGTAAGACTAAAAGCAGCAACTCAAGGTCTGAGGGCAAAGTCGTACTGCTGACTGTAGAGGGGTGTGACAGCAGTAAGGTGTTTCCCTCGGACAACCAGCATCTGCAGCGATGCTGCCTTCCCATAAGGAGGGGCGGGGTTAGAAAAGGTCGACCCTAAAAATGTCACACCTCACCTTACCTCACTGATTTCCGTCTCTGGCGGTGAGGCCCTTTGAAGAACACATTAAAAACCTTCCACGAAAAGGCCGTGCGCGACGGGCCTCAAGTAGTTGTCCCTTGGGCTCTGCGGTCACGCTCCCAGGTCGTTAAGACCAACACTAATCCGACTTCTATTTCAGGTTTCTCAAGAAATACCCTTCCACGGTGTGGGCAGCCGGGAAGTGATATCAGCCATCATACCCGTAACAGCACAAGAGACGAGATATTTGTCTATCAATAAAAGGACGAGTATACTGCGCTGCAGTTCGTTCTGTTTTAATTTACGGCAGCGAAACATGGCCCTTAAGAGTAGAAGACACCCGTAAGCTACTAGTATTTGACCACAGATGCCTTAGAAATATTGCTGGCATCTGCTGGGATCACCGGGTAAGTAATAGTGAGGTTAGACGCAGGGTATTAGGGAATGATGGTAAATCAGTTGATGAGGTTATGAATCTTCATCGACTGAGATGGTTGGGCCACGTGTTACGTATGCCTGAACACCGATTACCACGACGTGCAATGCTAACCGGTGTTGGAGATGGTTGGAAGAAAGTTAGGGGCGGCCAAACCAAAACGTGGCATCAGTGCCTGAAGTCACTAACTTCTAGTCTGAGCCATGTTGGTAGATGCAGACTACTTGGTTGGGGTCCACGTGACTTTCGTAACCAATGGTTGGAGACTCTTGGTGACATGGCTCAGAATCGATCACAATGGCGTCGGTGTATACACTCCCTGTCTTCCCTTAAACTAAAAGATTAAAATCACTTCATTCTTTCTGTCTACGAACTAATTCTTTCTTCCTATACTATATCCTTATTGCAACCTTTGACCTAACCGCTCCTATGAATCCGCTGTTCATCTTGCTGTGCTAATGAGGTATGGCAACCTGGACCGATGCACATATGTGCCTGGTCCTACGTTGTAGCTGACTGACTGACTGACTGACCAAGTTGGTCACATTCAAATCCCTCCTACACCTCCTAATACCTCTCTTATCTCCATGACTAACCCTCCTCACGTCTCTATCACCTCGCACCGCTAGGGCAAACGATTCGAGTACGCGGAACGTTATTCCTGGTCTCCTGAAACCACTCTCTAAACTACACGTAGGAGCTTTTAACGTCCGAACACTGTGCCAAATAAGACAGCAGGCTTCCTTAGCTAAGACTTTAGAATCTCGCGCCATCGATGTGTGCTGCGTCTCCGAAACGCGCATACAGGATCCGAGTAGCGTCATTCTCTTGACCTCACCATGCCAAAATAAAGAGCCGACTCGATTCACACTTCGTGTATCTGAAAGCCCTGATTCTGCTTCCCATGGCCTCTCCGGCGTAGGTATGGCATTGAGTCCTAAGGCAGAATTAGCTCTCTTAGAGTGAATCGCAGTAGACAGTCGTTTGTGCGCTGTCCGACTAAACGGAACAGTAAGGATCCGAAAAGATAGAGACACTCGTCGTTGCCTCTTCGTCGTCTTTGCCTATTCTCCCACTGACTGCAGCTCAGATGATGTAAAAGATGAGTTTTACAGAAAGCTCTCCGACCTTCTCCGAAAAGCTAGGCGCTCGGGTGTAGTAATAATGGCCGGTGACCTTAATGCTCAAGTAGGTAAACTAAGCGATAGAGAAAGACACCTAGGTGGATCTTATAGCATCGTGGCTCAAAGAACAGATAATGGCGACCGTCTGTTGCAGCTATGTTCAGATAACCGCCTGTTCCTTGCAAATACTAACTTTAAGCATAAGGAAAAACATCTTTTAACATGGAGACCCCCTAATTCGTCCCAACGTTGGACCCAAATAGATCACATCGCTATCAGCCACCGCTGGAGGGGCTCGATAGAAGACTGTCGCTCATTCTGGAGCACATGCCTAGATTCAGATCATGCTCTAGTACGAGCGCGTATCTGTCTGCGTCTTACCGGACGTAGGAAAGACGCTGCAAGGAAGCCTCTTAGGGCCCTACTTAATGATAGTCAAGCTAGGAGTATATTTCAGGAACAACTAGGAAAACAGTTAGGCAGCCATGTATGTGATGGCCACCCCGACGCAGCGTGGAACGATATCCGGAAAACTGTGGAAACAGCAGTGATATCTGCTAGTACGGTAACCCGTAAGGTTAGGGAGAAACACTGGATCTGAGCAGCATTTATCTCACTGATAGATGCTCGGAAACTCATTCCACCTGGCTCTGAAAATAATGAAGAGCGGAGTCAGCTTAAGCGCAAGCTGACAAGAAGTCTACGCAATGATCGTGAACAGTGGTGGGTAGCGAAAGCAAGAGAGATGGAAATGGTAGCGGCAATAGGTAATAGCAGACAATTGTTCAGACTTGTTAAGGAAACCGATTGTTAGCGAAACACTCTCAGAGAACGATGGACATATTATACATTCTCAATCCAGGAGATTGGATCGATGGGCAGAACACTTTAGGGATCAGTTCAACTGGCCTTCAGCCACATTTCTGTTTCCCGCGATCTCCAGTCGACCTGAATGGTAAGTTGATGTAAGTCCTCCAACTCTTTGCGAAGTTGAAAAAGCTATAGGAAATCTGAAGCGTGAGAGAGAGGCAGGCTCTGACAGGTTTACTCCTGAGATTCTTAAGGATTGTGGTCCAGTATTAGCAGCGAGATTGACTGAGGTCTTAGGTAGGATCTGGGAACTGGATGTAATCCCATCTGACTGGTCTCAGTCGCTGATTGTGCCAGTCAATAAGAAAGGACAAAAGTCCTCTTGTGACAATCACAGAGGAATCAGTTTGACTAATATAGTGTCTAAAATATTAGCTTCAATAATACTTCGACGCCTAACTAAAGCTCGTGAAGAGCAGATTAGAGAAAACCAGGCCGGTTTTCGACCTGGACGTGGTTGTATAGACCAGATATTCACACTACGTCAGGTTCTAGAACACAGACACACGTTCAGACGCCCCACAATGGTAGTATTTCTCGACATTAAGGCGGCATTCGACTCTGTTGATCGTGAGTTTCTATGGCAGTGTTTGTCACTGAAAGGAGTACCAAAGAAGTACATTAACCTTATAAAGGTTGTCTACTCGAACACAACTGGTAGAGTAAGAGTTTATGGCTAACTGTTATCAGAATTGATTACTTCAAGTGGTGTTCGTCAGGGCTGCCCACTCTCTCCATTCTTGTTCAACTTTGTCGTCGACGTACTTTAAGAGATAACACTTTCCTCGTCTAGATTTCCAGAGGTTGAACTTCTACCGGGAGGTTCACTTGCTGACTTAGAATATGCTGATGACATAGTTTTATTTGGTGAAGACGCTGACAAAATGCAGAGTCTTCTACGTTGTTACTGACTGACTGACTGTAGTTAGCATCGTTTTACAAATGCCTCAGTTGTAAATTCCACAACACTTAGTCTAAGTTTCATGATTGCTATGTTCAAAATATTGTTTTCATAACTATTTTGCGTCCCCATGTGGTCCGCCAGTTAAACATCGAATTGGTACTTCTCATTGTGCTCATTTTCACTACAATTATGGTTCTTATTCATTTAAATTAGTAAAAGTCACTACTATTTTACTGTTTCCACTGCTGGATTGTTTCTTCTGAAAGTTTGAGCATCCTCACTATTAGACGTAGGCAGACATTTTTATTAAAGCCTCTTGTGAATTCGGTTAATGCCATGTGTTCAAAGCGTCCCTTCAGTTTCTTGTCAGTCTGGAGGTCCATTAGTTTCTTCTGAAGATGATAATTAGCCGCCTGTATCAAAAGGAAGTGTAAAGGTCGCCAAGTCAAACTGTTATTCAAATGCTTTGAAATCTTCGGGACATCATGAAAACTCATTAGTGAGGACTAAAACCTGCCGACCGTATTCCTAAACTGGTTCTTGTCGGTCCTTTTGTATAATGTTGGGAAATTAGTGTATTTAAGCTTCTCAAGTTGTTTAGACACTGGATTAAGTTTGGTTTCAAACAATATTTGACAATAAGTGATTCGCATTGTAGTTTACCTGATGGTGGGCTTTTAAGTGAATGGTAGAAGTCGTAAAATTTCGTGTTCACTTACGAATGAAGTTGTGCCTTCAAATAAAGCTTGTTCTCATTGAGTTTGGACTCTCCTCACCCATGTTTATCTTAAAGCCGGGAGTTCAGTTATATAGATACTTCTAATAATTCATTGTTGTGTTTTAATATTTGATTCACGTTTTTTTACTGAAGGGTATTTATGCTTTCTGTAGGATTCTAGTTTATCTGAAGCACCCGGTGGGTCTTCCAGTGATACTCAAGCAAATGTAGTGTTTTCGAATTCCGCATCAGCACTGCTTTCCAAATTTGAGACCTTACTATCCAATGGAAACAACCAAGGTTGTCAAAAAGATGGTGATCGGGTTTCTTGTAATATTAATTGTTCACGCAACTTTAAACCAAAGCAAGAACCAGCGGATACTACCCAAGAAAACGATAAACTATCAACCCTTAACACTAAGCAATTGTTGAAACCTCTAGATTGTGAAGAGTCGACAGATTTATCGAACCACTCTGATGTAAGTTTGTCTAATGTCAAATAATCCTTAATTTTTATTTTGAGTAGCTGTCAGGTTAAGTATTCGGAAAGAATGGTTTCTTACTTTTATACACTTGTTTAGTATTTGGAACTTTCTATATTCCCTTATGTACAGCGTTGGTAAAACACTGGGCTCTGGACTAAGAAATTGCAAGTCCACTCTTCTCCATATACTTCAGCTTGAGCAGTCATATAATCACTAAACCTCATACAACGTACTGTGTAGGTAGTCCTGTACTTAATAAGTGAGCTACACTGCCATCAATTTCTACTTTCATCCAGAGATAATCAATTTAAGCCAACTAACAAACTGAATATCTTTATGTATAGTCTTTTTAAATTATATTGGAACCTTGAAATGCTGATTTTACGTTTAAATTTCGTATTTTTTTTTTGTAATTTAGATTCATCTGTCTGAACTACAGAAATTGATTGAAGAATCAGAAAGATTTGATGAGATGGTTAAACGACTTGTATTAATAACAAGGAGAGCAGTAAGTCGTTTGAGTTGACATCGTTGTGCTAATCAGTCAGTCAGTCAGTCACATGTAACGTGGGACTTGGGACATGTATGCATCTATTCAGGTTGATACACTGTTAGCGCAACGAGATAGAATTGTCATGGCAAATCATAGAACAGATGTAGCAGTAGTAGTGGCAGTAGAAAAGGTTAGGCATGTGGTTCCATAAGATATGGATTTGTGGGATGACTGTCTTTTATCGTTATTTATTCCTTATTGCGTTGTGTACAATAAGGATTCGACTCTGAACGAATTCATCTACAATTGTGTTTGTATCCAAAGAATAGCTACCCAGATGTTTAGTTCAGTAGATATTGATTTTGCATTATCTAGTTAAATAAAAAATTTCAAACGTGTCACGCGACTAGTTTATTTCATAACTACAAGTATAAGACTTCGTGAAGCTTCATATCCCGTGTGTCTTAACAACGCAGTTGTGAAACCTAAAAATTTATAAAGCAAAATGTCATTAGTCGATGGATTCATTGACAATTGGACTAAACCGTGTTATTAGATGTAGACTGCCTGGTTGGGGTCCGTGTCATTATCGTAACCAGTAGTTAGAGACTAAGTGGCATGGCTCAAAATCGCTTGGAATGGTTCACGTGCATCCACTCTTCGTTTCTTCCCCAGATTCTATGCTTCTAAATTCCGCATACATTTCCTATTTCATTAATTTGTATTTTCTTGAATCCTCTCTTCGATGCCTAATATTTTTTATTACCACTGATTTTGTTATCATCACTGCTCTAGGATTTACCCTAACGATTTCATCTCCCTATGCTAATGGGTATAACAATTTGAACCTATTTACATACGTACCAGGTTTCATGTTATTTTTCGAGTCATTTAACCTTCCCCAATATTTTCGATACGTTTATTATTCCTACTTTCCATCTTATTACTTTCACCTTATTGTGTTGATGCGGTGTAATAACTTGGATTGATCCATAGTTGTGTCAGATTCTTGTTTGATTTTCGCTGAGTGATTGATATTCACTAATCTACCCATAATTCTCTTTTTAGCTAGCTGTCTTGTTAGCATGTCATCACTATTTCCTTTTTGAGTTTTATCATATTTTCTCATAGCTAACTACGGATAGGGTACGTATCTCGCAATTATTACTGAATCAAATTGCTAAAAATTCAGTAAAAGTAAATTTGCATAGATTATTCTATTTTTTGTACAATAGTGTTCCAATCTCCAGTTTTAACTGGTTTAATTGATGATTATACAGAGTAATTCAATCTATACCTATTCTTTATTCTTCTCTCTCTTTATATATATAATAACATTTTGAAATGCTAATATTGATAAAAACGTGTGTATTTTATGTTAAAATTTATTTTATTGGCTTCATTAGAATCTTGGTGAATCTACAAAGTTGCTGGTAGATATTTCGAAACGATTCTCTGAGCTTCAGATCAGTTTTAATTCACTGAAAGAAAGTTATGATGTAAGCTGTTGTAATATGTTCTGTCCATTCAAAATTGGTATTTTGATATGTTTGCTTTTATTTTTGTTTGTGGATAATATTTTACACTTTAAGAATAACTAAAATATGAATTAAATCAGTTTAAACACTTAATTTATTATGTGATTTTTAAGTACTCTAGAACTTTTGTACGTAAAAGTACACCATTCAGTTATTTGAAACCACCTAATATTATGGTAATTTTAACACTCGTTGTACACAACTATCTCACGCGTTGCTCATTCTTCCGTGGCAAATATCAAAAGTAATCTCAGATCAAAGGGAATATGCACATGTGTCTGAATAAAATCAATAATCCATTCGTGATAATGATATATTATTTCTCGTACCAATATTATATTAAATATGTGTATACATGCTTTGATTTCTAAACAGATGTGCTACATTTTCTGCATAAAAATGTGTTTATTTTTCAGTCGCTTCATAGTGAACCTCAACTCCCTCCTGAATTGCGTAAAGTTCAGGTAAGTGTATTGATTGTTTTTCTTCGATTGTTTACTAGTGTTTTCAATGTTCAGTTCAGTTGCATGTTTTTCCATCATTTCTATTTTAATAAATGTACTATTGTGTTGTTGTAAACTTCGTTCCTAGATTCACTTTTTTCCATTTTTATCCTGTTTAAAGCATGAATTCAATGCTTTATTTTGGCTTATATATGTACTTTATCAAAAATTATCATCTTACAATTTTAGCTTTCAAGTTTTCGTGAATTTCTCAACAGTCTTAGCCGTAATTTTGATTCAACCAAAGAATGCTTTTACACAATTCATCATCTTGTCAAAGCTACTATTGAACAACAACTGGTAATAATTTGGCTTTTTTCGTTCTTATGTATTTCTTGTTATCATGTATACTTTTATTATTTCATAACATTTAGCGTATTGTTATATTCATTTGACATACTCGCTTTGTTTTATCTACACAAAATGATATTACAGCCAAATACTTATGGCATGACCGTTTTATTTCTGAAGATTATGTTAACAGGCATTTCATTTTTCTAACATTAACTCTATAACATCTAACGCTTATTAGTCTTCGTTTGCGATTGTAAACATTTGTTGCCATTTCAGAGTCAAAAACGGAACGCGGAATGAGCATTCCAACTCCTTAAACATTATTTATATTTAAACATTTTAATAATATTATTAACTCTCGTATTATGACTGTGTCCTCATTCGCTATTATAGGAATATATTTGTTTTTGATCATTAGAGTATTTTCATGTAAAGCAACAGTTCACCTTTTGTAAGTGTTTTTTGTTCACCAATAAATTTGTACGTCCAACTTCTATGAATGATGAGGCCTTCACATAGAGCATTATAAAAAATAATCACATAACTAATACTTTATATCCATGTATTTTTGTTCATTTAGAGACTTAACCCACGATTTCGAGCATGATTTTTATGTATGCGATTTAACTTTGTTGCTTATCAGTGCCAATTAAAGTACATATTATTTTGGATGTATTTTTACATATGGAATTCACAGATGTCTGATAGATTGAGTAAATATTCATGTAAACGATGAAACACACCTGAAACTTCCTTACTAACTCTTATCCATTAAAATGATAAACTGAATATTATATACATCGTTTTTTGGTATTAGTTTATCGCCAAATCTCTACTCTCACACAAACAGTATTCTTGTGTCACGTTGAGTTTTTCATAGATATTCAGTACAACATAGAAATTTGTAAAATACAGAGCTTACTCAAGATGTATTGTACGTTGTTTTTCTGGGAAAGGTAATTTTTAGCTTACCGTCTTTAGGTTGTCTTCATTATCCATGCATACACATAACAGGTAGACTAAAAAGCAGTCGATAAATACCCACATTATTCTCATAGTTCACTAGTTGAGATTTTTTATTTTTTGCAATCGTTTCATAAACAAGTGTCCTGCAAAGTTTCTAACCACTGTTATACATTCTGTTATTCTTACTGTATACTACAGAGAGGATATAATCTGATTCAAGGAGTAGCAAAGTTATATCCATCCGGTAGTACATTCGTTCTTTAAAATCTGTTTTTTCTTGTTTTTTTCTAAAGGCGAATGGAACACTGCAGGATGTAGATCATAGTGATGAAGAAAATAATTCAACTTTGCCTGTCAATCCAACTGGTTCTGTTACTGTAAAAGACAGTAATATAGAACTAAGTAAGACCTTTTTCCCTTATTTCCAAGTCATGTAAATACAGTGTAATACCGGTATTTAAATGGTATAACATGTATAGCACTTTTTTGTTATAATATTAATAAATATTCACAATAATTTCTAGTAGTAATAAGTAAGTGTATTTTTTGTGTTTTGTTTTGCCAGATACAAGCAAACAAATTAATGATGAACACGTTGAAGATGGTGATCCTGAATTTCTAACTCAAAAGGCTTATTTAATAGCATTACAACAGCGTACAGCTCAAGAAAAAGAAGAAATTGCAAAATTACTACAACAACGAGATGAACTAGCTGGACGTTTGGCATCACTTAAAGCAGGTAATCTTCTCGTCAACAAAATAGAAAGATCATTATTAATGTAAGGGACTTTCATAGTTTACATCACGAACTGAAATCAGTTATACAACAATTAAAAACCAGGAAGCACTGGGCAGATTTTTCGTCCTAGTGTGGGGTTCCTCATTAGTGCACACCCTTCAGCCCACTGGGGATCTGACACAGAACCTTTAGGTCTTGCGACAAGGGATTAACTTTTAGACTACTGGGCGAGATTATAATTTATGGACGACTCTTGAACGAGTCTTAAGTGACCTTGAGAAATACTGGCCAATCAGAAAGCAGTATAGAGTAAAAATATACTATACAAAACCAAAGAATTAAAGTGGATACACTTCTTTTACATGGTTCAAAAACTTGTCGAGGTTAGAAAGAGGTGCGGAGGTTCTAGAATCGTAATGCATAAGGTAGAGGAACTCATCCATGTGGCTCCATAATAGTTGGCCTCTGGAGCCATGATAAGGTTGCGAAAACTCTTTCAGCCTCAACCACATAGCTTCAATATCGTTAGTGCGCACTCTGGTTGCTAGGTCCACAAATGGCACTTGTGGATAGCAACATGATGCTCATAGCCCAGTCTATGTAGGTATTTGTACACTCCACTCATCTGTATATATTGTAGTGCCCAGCTGCACATATTCCCATATAATTGGTATTATCATTGTTGCCTGTCTGTTTCTAACCCGTTGGAAGTGTCCCTTTTGAGATGACCTGTCGTATATTCCAAGGACTTGTGAGATATATTTATGAAAGTGCTACTTACCCTGTCTTCTTTAACAATATATCCTCTGTTGAATTTTCGTTTTCTGACTACTGTTTTGTCTATTTCAACGATTCTTCCGACTCCCCCGAACGACTCGTCTAAGTTCTTCATTTTGATTGAGCATATATCTCTACAATACTCATTCCACTGAACAGCTAAAGCTTCAGTAACATTTGCAAATTTTGCGGCCGGTGTTGCTGGTGCTTTTATTATCCAGTTCTCAACAATTATCATAATTTGCCTTAGTCTCAATGTGGATCGAGCGAAAAAAAGTTCCTTTTCTAGCAGACTTCTTCCTCCAACATAAATAACGTCAAAGCACAACATCGTCACTGTAGTCTGCACAGGGTCCAGCAGTCATTTGATTACCGCAGTCACAAATAAAGGAACTTCTTAGTAATTCCATTTGTTGTAGCTGCTCAATTATCACGTCTTCTCTAAAATCTGCTGTAAACCGATCGTATGCGAGCATCGAGTGCCGAAGTTGACGTCGTGACCTTGAAATCCCTGAAACGCTTCTGCTTGGCTCGTCTATAAATTGTAGTCTCGCCGACTATTGGGTCACCATCCTAACCTTACAGTCAATTCAAGATATTACACAACCATTTTCCAATACCATTGGTGGGTTATCTATTGTTTGTTCAGAAAAAACCAAGTCACTTGTAACTTTTATGGTAAATGATTTCTTCTTTTTTTATTTGTCTTATCAATTTAGCTGCTAGTAGAGCATCATTTGATACTCGTGTTACTTCTGGCGACTCAGTCGAATCAACTCAAACTGATGGGTTGGAAAATGGAGATGAACGGTAACATAAACATGTTCTTTGATATTGCAAGATTTAATTTTCCTTTTTGCAATGTTTTTCAGTGCACGTTTTAGAACTATATGGGAAGCTGTTATATTAAATAATAATAATAATAATAATAATAATAATAATAATAATAATAATAATAATAATAATAATAAATATTTAAAGCTTAAATCACACAACACAAACTGACAATTAATTGTAAAAACTATATTTTTACTCCTAGTAATAGTGGGTCGGTCAGTGTATCACCTGACATACTTTCTAGTCTGGAAGCTAAAAAACGTGAGTTAAATGAATTAAAGACTCAACTTGAACTCCTTCGCAAGGCTGAAGCTAAAATCGCTAAATTTACACCAGCTTCACAAGGTCCAAGAGATATACATAATTCAAGCATTGCTGCTCTACCACAAGAGACGTTAGACAATAAGCGAGTCACTTCTGCTTCGCAGTCCATTCTTCCAGAAGTCAGTTCACCTCGGACAAGATTTGCAATTTATAAAGATGACTCTGATGATCTAGTAAATACAAAACCCGCTGGAAATGTATCATTATCTTCGGATTTATCAACCAAAGCTGATTCTGTGACTTTTCAGGTACCCATTTTCGGTATTTTTCTAAATTGTTATTATGTATTAGGTTCTCGTTTAAAACAGGCAATGTTAAGATGATATCATGAATTACTTATTGTTAAGAAAATTTCCGAATAATCCTAAATAGCATGTGTTATGACATCAACGAAATATGGCATGAAGTTGAATAATTATTGTTACTGACTTCTACGTTTTTATGGGGCATAGTTTTCAGTTTCTTTACTAATTTGTATAGTGCCTCAACACACTAATTCTAAAAATTTTAGATTAAGTTTGTATTTGCTTTTTGGCTTATATGACGAATACTTCATCTGAAGTTCTAATTCCAAGAAATATGATTGGAAGTTGTGCATTCTACGATTGTTAGTATATATATATATATATATTATATATATATTGTAAGAATTGAATTACTACTTGCGTTTGTATACTATACTAATTAAATTTAAATTGAAGCAAGGCTAAGGTATATTAAGTTCGCATAAAATCACTTCGAATTTATAGAAGTATAGGGTGAAAGTGTAGTTTTCTCGAAAACCTCTGGGATTTCGAAATCCCGAATTTAGGAGGCCTCATTGACCGATGCACTTCCTTTGGTAACCATATTTTCATTAAAGCTGAATTACTGGACAAAGATATATCACATTCTGTCTCAAGTCCACGGTAAACGAGATCCAGGTTCGGGTGGGATATTAGTGATAAATAAATTTTTCACCTAGCCCGAGGTTACCACTCACATGTTTCTGTAAGTCTAGCAGTATATTATATGTATATGCTGTAAGCATCAATCGAGTTTGGAAACTAAACTCTTTACAGTTTTGATGTTTTTTTCTCCATAGTTAGTAGCAAGACATCAGATTAATCCAACCACAGAGCGCGAGGACGGACCTTTATTTGTATTTGTTTAGTTTTTTTTAAGAAATATTACTGTCCAGAACGATACACTATTTCATGTAGGACTATGGTTTGATCCAGTTAACCATTCTATTCAAGATATTCAAGCACCATTTTTATTTAAGAAATTTGAAATGTATCTGAATTTCTGTAGGATTAAGCCTAAATGTTTTCAGTTTATTTTAGCAACGTTTTTATTTGTTTGTACAGCAACCAGAGGTGACCTGTATTGATAACACCGAACGTTTGTATGTTAATATGCGTGAGGCACGAATACAAATAGAAGAACAACGGAATCGATATGATCGGAGTACTTCAAATGGAATCAATAATACCAATTCTACCGCTCAAAAACCATTGCAGCATGTCAGTTGTAGCGGTGCTTCTGTCGCAACTAGTCAAGATAGAACAACTCTAGCAACTTGGGGTGGATCTTCACCTGTCCCTTCTTGTTCATCTGAAGCTTCTGAAGCAAGTGACGAAGGAGATGGAGTTAGTGTTTCTGACTCCCTACCTTTAAGTAAGTTTCTCTCTGTTAGGTCATGCTTATTAGCTATAACACACCTAGGCATATGGTAGACTAGTCAATTTTAGGTGTAAATAGTTGTTTGTCTTCCCCAATCTTCATACTGTTCTGCGTTACTATCACACTGAGTGTGGATACGTTTACACGATCATGAGTGCCAGGTTGTTTTGCAATGAGTATCCTGGATCGTATAGTCAAATCGGGTGGGTCACTGCATTCCTTCTTGGTCCGAATTGTTGAAAATCCTCCTTATTACATGGAAGTACACTATTTACGAGTGATGTTGGTTTGTTCAAATAACACTGGATTTCAAATTGAATATGTACATAGATGAATTGTTTGTCCTTTTTGTTTAAACAGGTTTGTTTTATTTTGAACTTTTAGTTTTTACTTTTCCAAGTCTTAAAAATTATGCTAATGTTCACCTCTCCTCTCTTTTTCTCTGAGATTTCCACAATTATTCATGTTTTATGCATTTCCTGTTGATTTCTCACTGTGTCAGCTGATGGATTTGTGACATATCTCAAGTTATATTTCTGTTTATTTACTTTAACAAGGAATGGCTCAGACTTGTTCACAGTGGTGTAGATTGCTTCAGTTATTTATTATGTTCTATATTTTACGTTCATATATTCCTTCGTACATACCATTTTCATTCCATTTTCTCGAGCCATACTTTCAGTGTTTAATCTTGCTGTCATTGCTATTGTGATTATTTTGACTCGTTTGCTGCTCATCTTGCTAGTTTTATCTCGCATGGCAAGTTGGGCTAACGCACATTTGTGCCACCAGACTCCAAGTTGATTATAACTGACTAGCTGATTGTTTCAATAAGGAATAGGTTATTTGTTTCCTTTTTTGCTACTTAATTAACACTTCCCATAATATGTACGCCATAATTAAAAAGGGTTATTACATTCTTAGAGATCGTTCAATGTTTACGGTACTATTTTATCTTGACACAAGCTAATAACATTAGTTCACAATGAATAATAACTACTAGTCCGATATATCTCACATTTTTTCATGTGAATGTTACCTGTGGATTATCATTCCAAACTGACTTATTGTACACCCACAGAATAAGTATTTGTGTTGTATCACTTCGATATCTGAATTTTATGTAGAAGGAGCAGAAATGTAGTTGTAGGTTCGCTCAATATTCATAGCGAAGAAGTAATGAAAATGTCTTTGACACCCATCTCCCGTCCGTTTGTAGAAGTTTAAGGGGAGAAAAGTAAAAATGTGATTATATAATACAAAGTCAGTCGTCATCCGGATAAAACTTGAGACAGATGTAAGTGGTCCCAAGTTGCACACCACATTAGCACGACGAGACGAATAGGAAAACCAATCGAAATCATGTAGTAGCAATCATAATGACTAAACATTAGGAATATGGTTCAAAAAGATAGAGTGAGGCGATATTCTATATATATATATATATATATATATATATATATATATATATATATATATATATATATATATATAAAGTAATACTGTAATTCAGGCAAAACCAGTAGAGATGATGTACTGTACTTAGTACAATGTATGACTTATGTTTACAGTAAATATATATTAGTTTTTCATAAATGTTTTTATATTATACATTTTAAGGATTTTTGAAACTATCAAAGTAATTGACGAGTAATACAACTAAAAAATAACTAATCTTCACTTATATGATAATTACCGAGTTTAATAGGAAGAGAAGATACTTTAGGGTTCTTAATATTCATTTATAATCATTTATATTGCTCTGTGGTTCATGTCATCTTGTAACGTTTAACTGTGATACATATGCATTAAAATAGGTCAAAATCATAATGTTGTTGATAAATGATTTTTGAGTAAAAATGAATAAATAAATTAAAGACCATATCCACAACCTAATGATCTATAGTTAGCCAGGATTTCATCGTTATATGTTTTTATATGATAGTTTAAAATGTTTGTTTTTCCCAGTTAAATTTAGTAATCAAACTGTTTGCGTAATCTAACTTTAAAAAATTGTTGATTGCACATCTACAAACTGTACTTAACTCACTCTTAATTCCTTTAGTGACAAATCCATTCAACTATATACTCATATTTCCCATGTTTACGTGAGAATTCTACTCTTGAAAATCAAATATAAGTTATTTTTTGCTACCTAAAATTCTTAGTTGATATTTTTTGTGGTCAAAATCAGTGTGAATTTAATTCTCATAGACAAAATGTACGAGTATGATGATGTCTGAAGTTAAAGAAAAAAAACAGATTAGTTTCATTGAATTAAACACTAATATCATGTACGAACCTTCACTGTACATTTTAGTTTAGCATGGATAACATGCTATTATCATTCAAAATTTCAGATTATTTGTAATAACCATCAAATGTAAATGTCAAAATTTTTCTTAAGTGGTGAACAACTAAGAAATTTCTCTTTGTTACTCCTTAGTAGTGACTTTTTTAGAAGAGTAATAAACCTATTAGTAAGTTTTATTGTTTTTTTGTAATTTCAACAGGTACATGTCTTTCAGTGTCTGCAGTTAATAATGCTTCTAATGTTATTCGATCTGTTCCCAATGGGCATTTGAAAAGTGTACCCAGCTCTGTTGCAACCAGTTCCTTGGATATGCCTGGTGAACCATGTTCAGTTATTAAGAGAGCATCAAGAAAATGTGAAGATATTCACGGAAATAATTTAGATAATGTTTATGTTTCTTCTACTGATGATGTTCCATATAAATTATCACTTCCGCAGGTTGGTCGAAGTCCATCTCCTCCAACTCGTCACAAAAACAAATCAGGGGATACTCAAATAAAGGATGGTTTAAATAAATTGATTGATCAACGTTTACATTCACAACAAAATTCATTAGGTGAACACACTAATGCTTCTGCTAACCAGAATACTGGAGTTTTGGGTCATATAGTTGTTGCATCAAATTGTAATGACTTTGATGATGGTCGAATGTCAGATCTGTCTGGTGCCATAGCCAATGAACGTAAGTTATTGAGAAAATTTCTATTCGATGATCTCACTAATATGCTATTTCCTTAGTTAATCATTGTCTACTGGTAATAATATGTTACCAAAACTACTTTAATCACAAAATTCTATTATCTATTTTATTCTAACCGAAACTGTATTATAGGTTTTCTTATACAAACCACAACCGTTATCACTTCATTGTCTCATCCAGGTATTTGTAGGTTTGACTTAATTTGTTAAGAATGATCAGGAGTACTTGGTTTATATGCCATTATTTAGCTGAGATTAATACAGACAACCATCTTGGCACCAGTTTTTGGTTACTTTGCCAATAAAGTCCTTTTATAACATCCCATCATTTCGATGTTTTCTTTAGTTATCCGGTGGTAGTATTTTAAGTATGCCCCTTGAAATCTTCGTAATCATTGTACTGTCATATTCTAGCTTTCAACCATTGTCAATTCTTAGTTGTAAATTGACTTAGGAGTGTTATGAATCGAACTGCATTTAACGATAGAAAAATTTATCCATGATGAATTTACTGTGCAAGCCTATACGAATTTTTATTTGCATTTGTATTGCATATATAATACATGTGATAACTGAAATTCTCATTTTAATTATTCTGGTTACTTTGTTCTCATTCTCATGAATAACTTTGAACTCATATCTCTATATGCATTTTTCGTATAATTGAGAATTTTTATTTGTCGTACTGTGTATTTGTATTGATTCAGTGGAATATGTTAATTTTAAGCATTTACCACCTCATTGTATTATTTTCGGCTTGGTTGTTTAGATTGCTAATGGTAACTTAAACACCATTCAAATATTACTCATCACTCATGTTCCCATTATATGGTTAACGTACATCTCTAACGGTTATTCACTTCAATTTAGGATAAGAAATTCGAATTCATCAATACAAACAGCGTCTTATCACTTACGTGAAGATCATTTGTTTCAGAACTAGTACTATTTTCTACTTGTCAGAACTGACGGTTTTTTTGAAGTCTTTTTTTTACCGTGATTTAAAAAGGGTTCTTAGCTTCACATATGAAAAGAAAAAGTAACCAGTTACCTTATAACTGAAATTATTTTTAAATTCTAATGGTTATTTATTTAGTTTTCACTTTCTTAATTGATATTTTAGAGCAAAAGAAAAGTATTAAAATACATCCAATCGTAATATCTTTACTAGTATTACTAAACACGTGCATATATTTAGAAAAAGTGTTGTTTCTATGTGTGTTTGGAGATTATTAAAATCAAACCGACAGTGGTATTTCTTGTTTTTTATGTACGCGTTTCTCTGTTTACCAATAAAGTTGTAATTAATTTTTATTACTACATGAAATCTAAAAGTTTACTCTGAATGGGTCAAATTTTTGGTAGTTTATATAGCTTTACGTTGGTTTATGTAATACCCTATAATTGTATTATGTGAGGGAGTGATTTTGACCATCAGCATTGTATGTTTATCTTTCCAATAGGGATTCAACGCTTAGAGTCAAATGTAGCCCAGCTCTATCAAGTATGTCGTTGTTTGATGCTCGAAAACTCTCATTTGAATTCTACAGTCACTCAGTTAATGTTACACAACTCATCTCATCAGCCTATTTCATCCATCACATCTTTGGAGCCGTCCATTTCAGCTGTTGGATCTATTGCATTTCATCAGTGTCAATGTAGTTCGTCTATTCCAAGTTATAACCAAATACTATTAACTGACTCTGGAGCATCTTACCAAGCAATGCTTTATAGACAAGAGCATCCATCAAAGAGTTTACCTTGTTCCTTGAATGTATGTCCACGAAGTTCTTTTGCGTACGCTCCTAATAGTTTAAGAGATACTGACCAGCCGCTTACACAGAGTGGTGTCCATGAGGTTCCCCAGATCCAGGTATGTTTAATTTCTGTCATTTTCCCAAATACATGTCCGTTATTCTGTTTATTATTGGAATGTCAATTTTTGGTCCGTTTAAAAGGATTATATTAATAATGTTTGTGATTTTTGCGACTACAAATAGAAATCATCATTAGTTTATGTGAAATAAAATAGCTTCATTTCTCATTGAAATAAGCGTAAGTAAAGATGAAGGCAGGTGCAGATGAGTTTACATAAAGGTTGTATATATCTTATTCATATAGTCAAAGGCTAGAGAATGCAACTGTTTCATTGGTTATATAACAAAATATGTATGGGAACCCCTATACAATCACACGTCCTAGTTTTGTTATATATTACAACTATTTTCTATAGTGGAAATGTATTATAATTGATGTATCTTGAGGATCGCTAACCAATATCGCATGCTAAGCCATCAATCAAAATCCTTATCCTAATTTGGTCTATTTTGCATCTATTCTTTCTTTGATAGCCTAGTGTCCTCGGATTAATCAATCACACGCCCGACCAACACTGTCGACCTTGACCCGATCCAGTTACGCTTCTGTCTGTACGTTATTCGCAAGCTTCGCTCTATGCCCCTACCTTGAGTCCAAAAGTCGGCAACCAACTTCCGCCATATTTATATTTCAGACAGACATGGTTTATATGCAGACATATCGAACCTCATCACACTATAAAGTGAGAAGTAACAACTATACATAAACAAACCAAAGGTGTCTATGAATGGGGCGAGCGTAAGCAATCGTCTGGCAACAGATTAGAAATAGTACGTCGTATGATCATAGTTTATGGGTTAACCGAAATCTCATGATGAAGAAAATACATAAACATGGTAATGTAGTTACTTATTAAGAATACAATTAGAAAAGTAATTCATAAACTAGTTGTTGAAGTTACCATTTTATCAACCTTCGTTCTGATATGTCGATAGTAGTTTGGGGACTTATGTCGTAGATATGAGCCCCAACCATCTTACTATGGTTTTGTCAACTGACTGTTGTCACTGTCCTTCATACGTAAAATATATTTCTCGTAACCGAATCTGTGAGCGATTCAAAGTGATTATTGTTGTTTATAAAGGATTGTAGATCCACTTTCCTCATCTTTGTTTCGAATTCTCGATTTGAACCACACTTCTTACACTATACTACTAATAAATATTTGTTTCATCTATTAATCCTAATCTTTTCTCTTTAGCTGCTTATTAATCAAATTATGCAACAACAATCTAATCTTACTCAATTGCAATTGGAGCTTCATCGTTTGACGCGATCACAGTCACAAATTAAGCCGTCATTTCTTCCTACTGATGGTAATTTCCATGGACCTTTATTGTCTCATCCGGAGAATACTGGGTTAAATTTTCCGGCTGTTACTGCTCATTTACTACAGGGGACCGCAGGATTTCCTCCGTCTGTCGAGTCGATCAGCCGTCAGGTTAATTTTACGGGAACCAATAATTCTCCTCAAGTGCTTGGAAATTCTCTTGTCTCACCCCAAACTTTGTCGGCTAACTGGTCTTTGAATACTGTTCCTAATGTTCACCAGTGTTCCAGAGATGCTACATTTTCAAATATAGGTAATGGCCATTTTATATTTGTGTATTACTCATTGTTGTGTGATTCAATTTCTACTAACTGTGTAGTGATAACGTTACTTAAGATCAGTCGAATCATGCCTTATCACGATTGCTCGATTGTTTTGGATTCATCAAATGCATATTGTTAAAGTTAGGTGCAAAGTTTTATGCAAACAGTGCTTATTTATTCAGGTTTTGGAATTGAATCGACTGATTAGAATCTAGGCTATATGTTGTATGATATACCGCGATATTTAATTTTAAATGAAGGAGGAACAGTTTAAAAAAGTTGTTCAAACCATGACTTGGCACAATCCCGTAAAAACACTTATTGTCATTCTGTCGGGGATGTTAGATCCCCAGAACTCACTTGGTAGACGTCTTATTTTTGTAATTTTATTTTAAAAATTTGAATTTCTTGTTTTCACATCCAAAGCGCCCATTTTCATCTTCATACCGTATTTCCCATTTGGGAGGACTTTAAATGTCATTAGTTCGTTGTCCCTTTCAATATGCTATTTTGTTACGTCTACCAAGGACATCTTTATGCTATATATATATATATATATATATATATATATATATGTTTGAGTTGTGCTTCTTGTTGTTCGTGCTTCTGGCTGCTTGTGGAATACATTTTCCCTCTTTCGAACATAGACTTCTCTCTAGTTAGAGGGGCTGGGATGCATCGGAATAATTAGCTTATTTGGTTATTGTGTCGCTGAGTCTTCGTTCGATTCTCAATTTAGGTGAACTCTTAGTCTCTTCAAACACAGCACATTCTGAATATTAACAAAGCGTGGAGACTTTCAAGTAGGATGTTGTAGACTGTAGCAATTACTAGTTAATGTCATAGTGCAGAATTATTCACAATGGTACAGATCTTTTATTTTTCACTAGATTTCTAATGTATCGGTACTTTTCTTCTGTTTTCCTACTTAACTTATTTCGTTCTCATTTATGATCACATTTTTTGTTAACATTTTTCCTTGTATTTTACCTTGGAGTTTAACATCGAATGGTACAGGGATGAGATAATTGGCTGGTTCACTGAGTACACTAGGTTAATTTGGATAAGACTAAAGATGTCCACCAGCATATTAAAGTGGATTTGAACAAGTAGTAATATTGATTAAATCTAGTCACTTCATTGTCGACCAATTATTCGATGAAAAATTTCTCATTTTCCAGCTACTTGAAGGTTAATAAAAAAACATCTTTGTGATGCCCCAATCAGTAGAAAATTGTATTTCTGATATTTCGTGACCTAGTCTAAGTTACTTCTTTAGAGTAGATAACTATCACTTCCAACTTTGGCCTTGACACTTATAAGCTACTTGAAGAGTTTGAAATATCATATGTTTGATAGCTTTTGACCAGAGAAATTTTCGGTATCATTCACGTGCTTCACTCCTATCAAGATAGTTTTGAATAATTAGTTACAACAAAGTTGTCGTTTCCTAAAATAGTTTCGACAAGATTCAACGATATACTTAAATATATTCCCTGATTCGTAGCCTGAGAAGTACAAAAGCATTTAAACAGTGAACAGTTTAGACCTTAATATGAAATACAATATCTTTTGGGTAATGTATTCATATCGAACCTCGTCATTTATAATTGAGTTTTCAGTTAGGCATGACTAAATCTCAAGATACAGTGAAGGAAGTGGCGCTCAGTAGTTGTTATTTCCTATCTTTCCTTAATTTTGAAAGTGAAAGACTTTTATAATGATTATTTATTTGATACATATGAGGGAATGCAGGTCAAGACAACCACTATAGCGGAAACCTCAACATGCACAAGGAGAAAACCAAGATCTTCAAATACAACACGGAGAACAGAACACCAACGTGCTTCGGTTTGGGCACCCTGGGCAGTATTATAACCCACACACAAATTAAGTGATTTGTGTGGCGCATATGTATCCGGTGCCCCTTTGTACCAATATTTATATGTTCAAACAAATAAACCCGATCACACTTGATAGAGAAGCTCTGGAAGATGGGGTGGAGACTCCCGTACCTGAAATGCATCATCGATAAACAAAAAGGATCGAATGCAATGTAAAGATAAGGGTTGGTGACACAAGGACAGCATTCCTGCAGTTGAAGAAAATATAGAACTCTAAAACAACTGTCAACCAACATCAAAGTCAAAATCTTCAGTACGAACGTCCAGCAGTCCTACTGTACATACAAAGCTGAAACTTGAAGAACTAATACAACCGTCATCAGAAAAGTACAAGTATCTATAAACAACTGTCTCTTCAAGATACTCAATGTCCGTCTGCCGGATGCCATCAGCAACAGCCTACTGTGGAAGAGGACAAATCAGCTTCCAGTTAAAGAAGGTGGATAGGACATACATTTAGGAAATCCTTAAACTGCATCACGAGGCAAGCGCTAGCTTGGAATCCTAAAGGGAAATGGAAAAGAGGATGATCAAAGAACACTGCGTTGGGAATTGGGAGCAGACATTAAAAGCATAAATAGGAACTGTAAAAAACTAGAAAGGACTGTCCATGACAGAGCTTGATAGTTAATGCTGGTGGGCGGCCTATGCTCTTCCACGAAGAGTAACAAACGTAAGTAATATTATGTAATATCGACTTATTGTTAGTTATCCTGTTTGTCACTCATATATATTTCATCTATTTAACTAGTTTTTGTGAATTTAATTTTATATGTAGGTCAAAGACCATCTGTACAAACTGCATCTATTCCGAGCTCTGTTTTACTAACTGATCCCAGTGTGAATCTTACATCGCCTCATGGTTCTTCTATCGGTCAAAACAACATTGGTAAGTCTTCATCTGATTGCCAATATGGTATCCTAAACTACTCACATTTTTATGCAGTTGTCATACATTGTGAAGGATTAGTATCAGATTTGAATTACCCTTAGATTTTTTTACTTTCTGTGCATTATAGAACTTATTAGCTTCCATTTAAACAAGTATTATTATTGTGTGGCTATACTCAAGCCCTTTCAATTGGAATGAGGTTTAAAATCTCATGACTCGTTAATTGAATAATTAAATCATTGAGTTGTGTAGTGAACGAACACTCAGATGAGGAAGACCAGTTAATTGCTAAACGCAAAATTACAGAGTGCTTTCGTAAAATATGAAAGGCATGCATTAAATGCATAATTTGCACGTCTTCCATCAGTTTTTCTGATTCTTTCAATTCTGTTGCTGTTACATTTAATTTCTGTTTTCTTCAGTTAAATCTCCGCAATCTTCTACTGGCACACATCCCACTTCCGATTGGTGTTGCATGCTACTTATATCTGTTAACATAAGTAGCTTATACCACAGTTGTAATTATCATAAAGAGATTTTTTATGGTACAAATATGTTAGATAATTATAAACTAGTACAATAATTAATCCAGAATTCCCTATATGTATAATTTTTTTGAACTGATAACCTCAATTCATTCGACTGATTTCAATGCAGATTTAATACTCAAATAGTTTTAATTCTTACTTACACTGATATTTGTTACTAAAAGCTAGAGATTACAAATAATATTATGGTAATAAACTCTAGAAAATCTATCTACTAGTTAATTTTACTTCACATAGGCTTAATGTTCATAGTGTTAACTAAACCTGAACTTGATAAATTCTAATTTTTTTGGATGTTCTGAAAACCACTAATGTGTACTTATTAGAACATATTGCCATGGATCCAATTGAAGACTTTACTTTTAAAGTTATGTATAATTTCATTTATAAATCTACTGGAGCGATATTTGAACATTCGAATAAACAATAAATGGGTTTCTAACAGCTCATTTTATCTATAAGGTTTGAGGAGCGTTAATCCATTGTTTCTAAACAATTAAAAGAGGATGTATTTGAAAGTTTATGGTATTCAGCTCATTTGATCCACTGGAGTTTACTTCTCTCCCCCTTCCTTTACGGTCTATCGTGGTATGTTGTATTTTGATCCCGCTTCAGATTCAATAATTGTTTCGCTTTATATATATATATATATATATAGTACAATGTATGACGGACTTTTTTGATGAACCCCATTTTTTCTGAATGTTTCAGGTTTCAATAGACATATCTAACGATGAATCAGAAAATATCTCACATTGTAACGTTTGATCTCACTTGATAATCAATTTTAACAATTAATTTTATTGTTGCATTTAGTTTTACCATTTTCGACTTTTTCGTTTACTTTATTTTTCTTGAGAATGTAGTACGTTTCTTTTTAATATTGAACAATGTGTTTAGATCAGTTGTGTTTCCTTCTAATCCCTTATTCTATATCCAACACTGACGGCTATTTCACTCAACCAAATAAATCTCCCTTTAGTGCTCATCAAAAAATTCTGTTTATGAAATAAGGTCTATCTTATTGTAGTTTTAATTTATTAACATCATTTTGTTTTCATATTCCCAACCAAAAAAAGACAAACAAATAAATTAGTTGGAATTTAGTTCCTATGCATTATTATTACAGATCATCTGATATATTGTTTCTTATCTTCAATCTTGTCAACACTCAATGCATTAAAATAAAGATGAAATGTAACTTTTTGTTCAGCCATCTTGTTTGTTTTTAATATTCTATATCAATAAATTGTTTTAAGTAGTCAAAGCTCACTTTAATTCGACCTATCTGTATAAAGAAAAACTTGGATACTAAATGTTAAGTCACAGGCTTGAACCTCACTCTTTGTAAGTTAGTTTGAGCAGGTGGTCATTATCTGAAACCTTATATCATAAGTTTACTGTATTATCAAGTACTTCATACCTTACTTGATCATTGTAAAGCATTATCAGATAAGTTATTGTTTTGTGTGAATATATTCCAAATTGTATATTTAATCTATATAATTCTAACTTGTATTTGGTGTTCCAGAACCAATCTAGTCAAAACACCTAATGTTTTGCATATTTACGTAATATTGTGGATAAATTAACTATAAGAAAGCATGATTAAATGCAGATGTGTCTTATGCTGTAACATGTTTGTCCGGGATGTCACATATCTTGTCGCAACATAAATAAATTAAACTGAAGGAGAAAGAAATAATAATAATAATATATGTAGATTAAAATAAAGAGAATTTTTGCGCACATATCGTTTACAGTTTATTTTTAATTGTGTTTAATTATAAATATTACCACTGTGTGGAGATCTCATCATTGAAGTTTCTCCCAGTCCCTTGGTTATATCAATAATTCACATTATTTTTGGCTCAGATTTTCTCAAAACTGAATTCAAATATTTGCTACGTCATCAGTTTTATCGTTCATGGATGATACTTCAATGGTACATGTAGTTAAATACTTCCAATATCTTTAGGTACGTAATAAAACATGGCGTACTTCTGCTCTGTGTACCGGAATTTTGACAGACAGTCGAATAACATACTTTGATGATCTACGATGAGTTCCGTTAACATCTGTACGTGCAACTATTTTTCTAGTTTTATTTTGCTTTAAATATGTTATGTTTTGTTAGAAACAATGGCGAGACTCTAATTTATGGACGAGCCAATCAGAGGCGTTTTAGAGATTTCATGGTTACGGCGCCAACTTCAGTGCTTAATGCTAACGTACGATCGGTTCACAGGGATAATTGAGCGGCTATAACAAATAAAACGGCGGGACTATAATTTGTGGACGAATCAATCAGGTATAAGATAATAGATCTCGGATTTTAACGCGAAAGCCTTTCATCCATTTGGCTAAATAAATTTCTGGCATTATAGCTGATGTCAGTTCGTGATGAAAACCCCATATATAATTCGTAACTAAGGCAAATTACGACAATCATTGCGAACTGGATAATAAAAGCACCAGTAACACTGGTTGCAGCCAGGTAGTACATTATATACGGATGTTTGGAGAGCGTACTGACTCCTACATAGTCTTGGTGATGTGAATCGTGTCGTTATCCACAAGTAGCATTTTGTGCACACAACAACCGGAGTGCACATAAACAATATTGAAGCTATGTGGTCGAGGCGGAAAGAGTTTTTGAGACCTTATCATGGCTCCAAAGGTCGACTATTCTGTAGCATGAATTACGATTTTAGAACCTCTGAACCTCTTTCTAACCCTGATAAGTTTTCGAACCACGTATAAGAAGTGTATCCACTTTATTTCCTTGGTTTTGTATAACATATTTTTACTCTATGCTGACTGTTTGCTGATTGGCTAATATTTCTCAAGGTTACTTAAGATTCGTTCAAAGGTCGTCCATAAATTATAGTCTTGCTGAAACAATATTGACCATATGCAAAGTAAAGTACTATTTCAATGAAATTCAACAATCTCTACAAGCCCATACTGAAAAGTAAATAATGTTACTTCTTGTTTAGTACCAGTAAAGCACTGAATGCTTTGATAAAACTATACTTTAGCAACGAACCAATCAAGTTCCAGGTAGTGATTCAGATTTGTACATAAAAATCGAAATGCAGTGACAGTTCGTATTCCTTAATGAGTAGTAGAAGTAGAAGTTGGCTTTATTTAATGCTCAAATATTTGAAATCGACAAATAAATAGTCTACTCTATTACCGTGCAATGAATATAACATGTTATGAAAACTAAGTTACGAAAAACGTTTGCTTCTTCGGATGCTGATTGTGTCTGAAAATTAAGTCATTATGAATTCATTCATTTTTCTGTTGTTCAAAGTAAGCTTTTAAGTATATCATCTCATGAACCAACTCAGTGAATAATAGACACTTTCGTGTAGTACAAATTACTTGAAGCAGTCAGAAATTTTATTAACATAGTTTTTTGATGTATTTTACGTAATTTTGTAGAACTTTCAGGTAGTATGCACATATATATTGTGAAAAATATATTTTAAAACATGATGGGCCTATCTTTGACCTGTAAAACACTTAAGATAAAAATTGTCCTCTTAAATTATTTTTTTTTGTAGTAGTAGTCGATCTTCGGATTCAGAAAACAAATTGTAAATCTTTGAAAAATTAATAAACATTGTAAAGCTACCACATACTTTTAAGATTCACCAATTTTGTAGCGATGAATTCTTGATTTTCGAAGCCTTTTCACTCATAGGTTAAAATAAGTATTCTGAGGTCATTTTTTGGGGTCGCTAAAAGTAATCGTTCTAACAGTATTTTTGATATACAGACATAATGGTATTGGAATTTGAAACATGTTTAAGAATTCATAAATTGTCTAGATCTACTATTAGTTACGTAATATTGGTGTTTAATAAACTAGAGGATTTTGTATTTCATAAGCAGAAGTATAATTTTCAAGTTACCGAATTTCATGTTTCTAGAAGTATCTGGTTGCTTCATAATATCAACTGCTTAATTTATATGCAATGATCTATTGAACCCTGTGCTATATTGTCGCTCAAAATAATGTACATAAATCTCTCCTTAGTCTGTTTACTTTCGATAATTGTGTTGTGGTTAAAATGAAGTACCATTAAAATGTTATAAGATAAAAACAAACTATACTATCTTCAATGAAGAATTCGATCATTTGTTAGATATCTAGTCTCTAATTACTGGGATGCTTTTAAATATATCTTGATATATTTATGTACAATACAGAAGTGTCAGTACTAAGCAGTGCCAAAAACTGTTACGCAAAATAAGACAATGATATTGTGAAGAGATAGAAAACGAAGAAATCATATCAATCAATGAGTAAGAATAACATTTATTTAGAGATATTTCTATCAAGATGAACTTCGTCCTGTTGTAATATGAATCTCACTTTTGCTCTGTTGGATTGTATGCCCAACCTTTCACAACCAAAATGAGGCAGATTAAGATGAACCAAATAGGCTTTCATTATGTATAGATTTAGTTCAACTCTCACGTTGTCACCAGCACTCGGATGTCCAAATATCTTTACTATTCTCAGCTATATTACAAAGGATATGTAGGCTCCTAGCAATCTCGCAGAAACACTGCGTCTGGGTAATCTCAAGGTGCATGCTTCATTCAAAACCTAAAGTACATGGAAACGATTGCGTCACATCCCACTGTCAATAACATCCACTGTGTTTACCAATTTAAATGTGTGTGTGGTCACACATAAGTAGGGAGGAGTAATCGTGATCTCAACATTAGGGTGCGTGAACATGTACCCAAATGGCTTCAGAAACAAATACAATCAAGTGACCCAATAAGAGCAGAGGATAAACATCCATCATCCTCTATCGCTAAACATATAATTGAAACAGGTCACAAGATTGATCTAAATTCAGCTTTTGTAGTGTTGTGTAAAAGGGCGTATGCTAAGGTTTATTGAAGCCTTAGCCATACGAAAATTCGAACCCCCTTGGTGTGTTCACAAACAGTTTGTTGTTACCTTAAACCTACTCTGGTAATATTGACTTATTATCCAGTGTGATTAGGTTTCAAATTGTGTTCACATTATTATTATTATTACTCTTATCATTATCCTTATCTCCTCTTACCCCATTTCCTGTCTAGTTGACCTTTTATTTTTATATATAAATGCTCTTAACAAGTATATGTGTGACCAGATTGTTCGAAATGTATTGCGCTAATATATCACATAGTTCTGATAATCTTCGTCTTCTAATATCATTATCGAAATGTCAAGTATGTAATATTCACTTTGTGCAATGCTACGTGTTAATTACAACGAAGAATTCTCAGCTATCCTTCGCGAAATCGCTAAGTACAATTTGAGTGACTCATTCCATCGCAGAAGAATAATGTTAATTAGATCTTTTCCCGGATAATTTATCCGCAACATGTACTTTCTTAACTGCTTCCCGAATGTCATCGGTGGCAGAACCGAACAGGGCTGGTGATATTGAGTTACTGTCTAATCTCAATGCTAGACTGAATCAATGGAGAGTGGTAGTTACATGTCTTTTCTCTATATGATATGTTTTTTTCACAAAACGTTTAAAATGTTAATCAACTTCTCAGAAATACTCCAACAGACTCCTATCCAACAAAGGGATGGAGGCCCTGATATCAAGGAATAGTAATTTTATCTTGGAATGACTACATTACATTGGGTCAATTACATATCGACCAAATAATATGACCACGCAGCTGTCCAAGATTTGGCTTTCTTTTCTAAAGGGCGAGACGTCTCGCTGGTTAAAAGATGTATCTTCATTTTCTAATGGACAAAGGTATTTGTGTATACTTGAATAGGTGTAGAGTTATTACTCAGCTGGCCAATAAAAATCCTCATTAAATTAGCCGGTTGGGACCGAGGTTAGAATGTTTGTTTATCAGTAGCGAAGTCGAACAACACTACTGGGAGTTTTCAAGGACTTTAGCAGAGGGTGAAGATATGTTCAGTACACCCTCGGGATGAATGAAAACAGTGTTACATCTTGTGAGTCAGCTCATGAGTTTCGCACAACCTGTGGAGATATAACGGGATCCAATACTTGAGAAACAATTGGAAGCATATTTACGTGGGTCCTTTTTAAAGATGGATACTATAATCACTTCATTCGATGGTAGCCGAACGCTTTATTTACTAAATCTTTCTAAATAAACAGACCAGTTTTATGAATAGAAATACGTTTTTATCCTTGAAAAGAGCC